AGTGACATCCCTCATTTAAGATTTTGGTGAAAAAATCATTGTAAAATGAGGGGAGGTAAAAAGTATTGGGGAAAAAATGTGGAAAAAGTATGAAAATACTAATAAAAATAGAATGTAGCCAAAAATTTTTATGATGGGGTACATGCAGGTATGCATCAACCTTGACGCAAGATGGTACAGATGTCAAAAAATAGAAAGTTAGGAAAAAGAATATTTTCAACTATGATGAGTTAAAGAAAATATTTATTTTAAAAACTTTGATTTTTAAATATTCATATATAAAATAGTTATATGTAAAATAAATATAATATTCCATGAAAAAAAGGGTAAAATTCAAAATTTCCCACCAGCATTGGCGCCCTCTTTTAATATAAATCGGTAACATCAACCTATGGTAATGTGGAAACTTATCCTTCATTGGTAATCTCAAGGGTTGGTAAAAGAAATTTCAAAATTCCCGCGAGCAGTATAGATATGTATTAAGAAACTGTTTTTGAAAAGGGTTATGCAAATTACATTTAAAAAAGATCCATTCAAATTAGAGAGGTGGCCAAAAGGGTAAAAGTTTAAAAAATACATATGCAAATTAGGGAGGTGGTGGGAGGCCAAGAGGGTTGAAAGTGGGTGGTAATATTTAAAAAAGATATATGCAAATCACAACATCCCACCACTGAACTCCATCCCCACTTGATGCATGGACTACCAACGGGCCCCGGTGACCGTACACGCACATCTGCCGCGCACCTTTCACTTTTGAGCCATCCACTGTGCGCCACCCACAGCCATCCACTCCCAACCACCCACATTCCCGCGCAGTATCTCGCGAACCCTTTGTTCCTCGAGGTTCTAATTATGATTTTTGAATTTTTGGGACCGTATATGTTTATACTGAAAAGGGTTATGCAAATTAGGGTGGATGGGCGACCAAAAAGGGTAAAAGTTTAAAAATACATATGAAAATTATGGGGGTGGTAGGTGGCCAAGAGAGTTGAAAGAAGGTGGGGTAAGAGGTGGTGGGAGGTGTTCAAATGGGTTAAAATTCAAAAGGTGGGTAGCCCACAGGGTTGAAAGTGGGTGGTAAGGGGTGAAGGGAGGTGACCAAACGGGTTAAAATTCAAAAGGTGGTTGACCAAAAGGGTTAAAAGTGGGTGGTGGGAGGTTATCAAAAGGGTTAATATGCAAATTAGGGGGTGGTGGGGGGCCAAGAGGGTTGAAAAAAGGGTTTCAAGGTCAAACTGTTTTAGAACTGGTAAAGCACTACTACTTATCAATTTAGTAGTTACCTAAAATTAAATTAGAAAAGTTATTTTATAATTATTTTCACTTACCTGAAAAGTATTGTCCATATATTAAATAACTTTTAATACTTTTTTCAATTTTTATATGGTCACTATAAAAACATTACGTTAAAGTTAAAATAACATTTAATTAAAAGCATAAATGTATGTCAATTTTCTGTGTAAAATTTGTAAACTGATATACTTAAATACCTACCTAAATAAAACGTAACAATAACTTAATATCACAATATTATATAAAATACTTGTAATATAACATCAAGATGATATTAAAATATTACCGTAATATTATAAAACTTTCATGTAATATTATTGTTTAGTTTAATATGTTACCGTATTGAGAGTACCTAGGTAGAAGTCGACGATTGATATGGACCGGCTTCATATAGTTTCCTACGGAAGATCCTACAAAACATGTCACAAAAAATGAAAAAAAATTTTTGAAGTATTTATTTTTTTATTAATGTATTTGTAGAAAAATCTTCTGGAACGTCTACAGTCAAACCTGGCGCAATCTAGAAAGCGTCTAGCATCACTAGTCTGGAAGGTCTGGCTTGGCCCACTTCTGGTGCTACTCAGCCACTAATCAGACTCTGCATAGCTTCGCTGGTCTAGAAACACTAGTCAGACCCAGATCTGGTGCTAGCCAGAAGTAATAAATATTTAAAATTCTTTAATTTGGAATTTCTAGACTGTGTGTAGCGATGCTAGTCTGGAAAGTCTAGCCAGACCCAGGTTTGGTGCTGGCCAGAAGTAATAGATAGCAAAAAATTTTTATTTTGTAATTTGTAGACCATGTCTAGCGATGCTAATCTAGAAGGTCTAGCCTGACCCAGCTCTAGTGCTGTACAGAAATAATTTATAAGTAAAATTTTTTTTTGTTCACATGACAACATAATTGAGATTAATCTGATTTTAAAATTTTTTTCATTTAATTTAAGCTTATATTTTATTTCCTATTTTAAAAAAGAAATATTTATATTGAATACATTCATTTAAAAAATTATTAAAAATAATAATAACAAATAATGTTTTTAACTTTTTTATAGTATAAATAGTATAACTATTATTAAATAGTTAAATTAAGTAAAATTAATAATATATATATTCAGATTTTTTCAATTGTAGTTCATATAGACAATTTGAAGAAAATCTTTTTTGCCTTGCTTGTTTTTTGATTTCAATAGAAATCGAAAAACAAGCAAGGCAACAAATACATAAATAAGAGTCAGTATCATTACGGCGTAATTTTTTTTCTGTAATTGTTAGATTTAACACAAAAATTTTTTATGTTATTTTTATCTTTATATATCATTGATTTTATTTTTTTTACAAAATTGAAAAATGCTTTTGTGAAAAATAACATTTTGAAAAAATAAAGAAAGTTTTAAAAATTAAATATTGTTATATTTTACATTTTGAAAAAAAAAAATTTTTTGAGTCAGTATTATTACGGGATGATTTTTTTCTTACATTTGTTATATTATACAAAAATTTTTTTTTGTTATTTTATTTTTAAGAATAAAATTTAACATTAACCAAAAAAAAAATTTGTAGAATATAACACTTTCAAAATTTAAATAAGATTTTCAAATTTTGCAGTTGTTATATTTTACATCATAAAAAATAATTTTGTTATATTTTACAAAAAGAAATTAGTAAAGAAAAAATTTTTTAAGTTCACTTTTATCTATTAAGTACACTCAGTTTCAAAAGTTAAAACGATATAATAAACATTTGAAATGAAGATTTTAATAAATACAATCTATTTACCTTTTTGGTCAAACGGATTAGAGGTTTGAGTTAAAAGGGAGAGGGGGTTTAAGTAATAATTTACAAATTTCAATACCGTGCTTCTTGTGTCAGTACAATTAAATGTTATCTTCCTAAAAAGGTAATCAAATTAAATTAAATCTTATAAAAAAGAATAACGCTAAAGAATTTGTTAATTTTTATGTATAAAGGGTTAAAAAATAAAACAATTGTCTGTTAATTTTAAAAAAAGTACGATGTATAGAAAAATAACTGTTAAACAGCAGAAAATAAGTCCAGCACATTATCACTTAAACTTTGCAAAATTATCAGACAATTGTAAATTAAGTTAAAATAAAAAGAAAAGAAGCTGTTGATCAACAGCAAAAAAGTTTTACTAGTCAGCACTTATTCTATATGTGATTGTCTGACATTAAAAACTAAAAGCATGGTGTAAAGAAAATATCTGTTGAACAACAGAAAATTTGTCCTGCATTTTATCAGTTATTCTTTCTGGAATTGCCTGACACTTCCAGTTATAATATGGTGAAAAGATAAACATCTGTTGAACAACAGGAAATTAGTCTTGCTCTTCATCACATATTCTTTCTGGATATGCTTTACATTTCTAGATAAAAATATGGTGAAAAGATAAACATCTGTTGAACAACAGGAAAATATTATCTGTCATCATCACTTGTTCTTTTTGAATTTACCTGAAATGCGTAGATTAAAGTATGGTAAAATGAAAAACATCTGTTGAACAACAAGAAATTTGTCTTGCACTTCATCACTTATTCTTTCTGGAATTACCTGACACTTCCAGTTATAATATGGTGAAAATTTAAACATCTGTTAAACAACAGGAAATATGTCTTGCACTTCATCACTTATTCCATCTGGAATTGCATGACACTTTCATTTATAATATGGTAAAAAGATAAACATCTATTGAACAACAGAAAAATAGTATCCCAACTCATCTCATTTTCATTGAGGATATGACTGACTCTTCGTGTTAAAAGTATGGTAATATAAAAAACATCTGTTGAACAACAGGAAATTATTATTAGTCATCATCACTTGTTCTCTTTGACTTGATCCGAAATGCGTAGATTAAAGTATGGTAAAATGAAAAACATCTGTTGAACAACAGGAAATTTGTCTTGCACACCATCACTTATTCTTTCTGGAATTGCCTGACACTTCCTTATAAAAGAATAGTAAAATGAAGAACATCTGTTGAACAACAGGAATTTTGTCTTTCACTTCATCACTTCTTTTTTGTGCAATTATCTGACACTTCCAGTTATAATATGGTGAAAAGAATAACATCTGTTGAACAACAGGAAATTATTATCCGCCATCATCACTTGTTCTTTTTGAATTTATCTGAAAAGCGTAGATTAAAGTATGGTAAAGTGAAAAACATCTGTTGAACAACAGGAAATTTGTCTTGCACTTCATCACTTATTCTTTCTGGAATGGCCTGACACTTCCTGATAAAAAAAATGGTAAAATGAAGGACATCTGTTGAAAAACAGGAAATTTGTCTCTCACTTCATCACTTCTTTTTTGTGCAATTATCTGACACTTCCGGTTATAATATGGTGAAAAGAAAAACATCTGTTGAACAACAGGAAAATAGTACTGCTCTTCATCACTTATTCTTTCTGGAATGACCTGATACTTCTAGTTAAAAAATGGTGAAAAGATAACCATCTGTTGAACAACAGGAAATTATTATCCGTCATCATCACTTGTTCTTTTTGAATTTATCTGAAAAGCGTAGATTAAAGTATGGTAAAGTGAAAAACATCTGCTGAACAACAGGAAATTTGTCTCTCACTTCATCACTTCTTTTTTGTGCAATTATCTGACACTTCCACGTTATAATGTTGTGAAAAGATAAACATCTGCTGAACAACAGGAAATTATTATCAGTCATCATCACTTGATCTCTTGGACTTGATCCGAAATGCGTAGATTAAAGTATGGTAAAATGAAAAACATCTGTTGAACAACAGGAAATTTGTCTTGCACTCCATCACTTATTCTTTCAGGAATGGCCTGACACTTCCTGAAAAAAATGGTAAAAAGATAAACATCTGTTAAACAACAGGAAATATGTCTTGCACTTCATCACTTATTCCATCTGGAATTGCCTGACACTTCCAGATAAATAAATGGTAAAATAAAGAACATCTGTTAAACAACAGGAAATTTGCATGCACCTCATCACTTATTCTTTCTGTAATTGCCTGACACTTCTAGTTAAAAATTGGTGAAAAGATAACCATCTGTTGAACAACAGGAAATTAGTCTTTCACTTCATCACTCATTCTTTCTGGAATGCCCTGACACTTCCAAGTTATAATGTGGTGAAAAGATAAACATCTGTTGAACAACAGGAAAATATTATCCGTCATCATCACTTGTTCTTTTTGAATTTACCTGAAATGCGTAGATTAAAGTATGGGAAAATGAAAAACATCTGTTGAACAGTAGGAAATTTGTCTTGCACTTCATCACTTATTCTTTATGGAATTGCCTGACATTTCCAGGTGTAATATGGTGAAAAGAGAAACATCTGTTGAACAACAGGAAATTTGTCTTACACTTGATCACTTATTCTTTCTAGAATGGCCTGACACTTCCAACTTATAATGTGGTGAAAAGATAAACATCTGTTGAACAACAGGAAATTATTATCCGTCATCATCACTTGTTCTTTTTGAATTTATCTGAAAAGCGTAGATTAAAGAATAGTGAAATAAAAAACATCTGTTGAACAACAGGAAATTTGTCTTGCACTTCTTCACTTATTCTTTCGGGAATGACTTGACACTTCCAGTTAAAAAACTGGTGCAAAGATAAACATCTGTTGAACAACAGTAAATTTGTTTTGCACTTCATCACTTATTCTATCTGGAATGGCCTGACACTTCCAGTTAAAAAATGGTAAAATAAAGAACATCTGTTGAACAACAGGAAATTTGCATGCACCTCATCACTTATTCTTTCTGTAATTGCCTGACACTTCCAGTTATAATATGATGAAAAGATAAACATCTGTTGAACAACAGGAAATTATTATCAGTCATCATCACTTGTTCTCTTTGACTTGATCCGAAATGCGTAGATTAAAGTATGGTAAAATGAAAAACATCTGTTAAATAACAGGAAATTATTATCCGTTATCATCACTTGTTCTTTTTGAATTTATCTGAAATAAGTAGATTAAAGTATGATAAAGTGAAAAACATCTGTTGATCAACAGGAAATTTGTCATGAATTTCATCACTTATTCTTTCTGGAATTGCCTGACACTTCCTGAAAAAAATGGTAAAATGAAGAACATCTGTTGAACAACAGGAAATTTGTCTTGCACTCCATCACTTATTCTTTCAGGAATTGCCTGACACTTCCACGTTATAATGTGGGGAAAAGATAAACATCTGTTAAATAACAGGAAATTATTATCCGTTATCATCACTTGTTCTTTTTGAATTTATCTGAAATAAGTAGATTAAAGTATGGTAAAGTGAAAAACATCTGTTGAACAACAGGAAATTTGTCTTGCACTTCATCACTTATTCTTTCTGGAATGGCCTGACACTTCCTGATAAAAAAAATGGTAAAATGAAGGACATCTGTTGAAAAACAGGAAATTTGTCTCTCACTTCATCACTTCTTTTTTGTGCAATTATCTGACACTTCCGGTTATAATATGGTGAAAAGAAAAACATCTGTTGAACAACAGGAAAATAGTACTGCTCTTCATCACTTATTCTTTCTGGAATGACCTGATACTTCTAGTTAAAAAATGGTGAAAAGATAACCATCTGTTGAACAACAGGAAATTATTATCCGTCATCATCACTTGTTCTTTTTGAATTTATCTGAAAAGCGTAGATTAAAGTATGGTAAAGTGAAAAACATCTGTTGAACAACAGGAAATTTGTCTCTCACTTCATCACTTCTTTTTTGTGCAATTATCTGACACTTCCACGTTATAATGTTCTGAAAAGATAAACATCTGCTGAACAACAGGAAATTATTATCAGTCATCATCACTTGATCTCTTGGACTTGATCCGAAATGCGTAGATTAAAGTATGGTAAAATGAAAAACATCTATGAACAACAGGAAATTTGTCTTGCACTCCATCACTTATTCTTTCAGGAATGGCCTGACACTTCCTGAAAAAAATGGTAAAAAGATAAACATCTGTTAAACAACAGGAAATATGTCTTGCACTTCATCACTTATTCCATCTGGAATTGCCTGACACTTCCAGATAAATAAATGGTAAAATAAAGAACATCTGTTAAACAACAGGAAATTTGCATGCACCTCATCACTTATTCTTTCTGTAATTGCCTGACACTTCTAGTTAAAAATTGGTGAAAAGATAACCATCTGTTGAACAACAGGAAATTAGTCTTTCACTTCATCACTCATTCTTTCTGGAATGCCCTGACACTTCCAAGTTATAATGTGGTGAAAAGATAAACATCTGTTGAACAACAGGAAAATATTATCCGTCATCATCACTTGTTCTTTTTGAATTTACCTGAAATGCGTAGATTAAAGTATGGGAAAATGAAAAACATCTGTTGAACAGTAGGAAATTTGTCTTGCACTTCATCACTTATTCTTTATGGAATTGCCTGACATTTCCAGGTGTAATATGGTGAAAAGAGAAACATCTGTTGAACAACAGTAAATTTGTTTTGCACTTCATCACTTATTCTATCTGGAATGGCCTGACACTTCCAGTTAAAAAATGGTAAAATAAAGAACATCTGTTGAACAACAGGAAATTTGCATGCACCTCATCACTTATTCTTTCTGTAATTGCCTGACACTTCCAGTTATAATATGATGAAAAGATAAACATCTGTTGAACAACAGGAAATTATTATCAGTCATCATCACTTGTTCTTTTTGAATTTATCTGAAATAAGTAGATTAAAGTATGATAAAGTGAAAAACATCTGTTGATCAACAGGAAATTTGTCATGAATTTCATCACTTATTCTTTCTGGAATTGCCTGACACTTCCTGAAAAAAATGGTAAAATGAAGAACATCTGTTGAACAACAGGAAATTTGTCTTGCACTCCATCACTTATTCTTTCAGGAATTGCCTGACACTTCCACGTTATAATGTGGGGAAAAGATAAACATCTGTTGAATAACAGGAAATTATTATCCGTTATCATCACTTGTTCTTTTTGAATTTATCTGAAATAAGTAGATTAAAGTATGATAAAGTGAAAAACATCTGTTAAACAACAGGAAATTTGTCTTTCACTTCATCACTTATTCTTTCTGGAATGGCCTGACATTTCCTGATAAAAAAATGGTAAAATGAAGAACATCTGTTGAACAACAGGAATTTTGTCTTTCACTTCATCACTTCTTTTTTGTGCAATTATCTGACACTTCCAGTTATAATATGGTGAAAAGAATAACATCTGTTGAACAACAGGAAATTATTATCCGTCATCATCACTTGTTCTTTTTGAATTTATCTGAAAAGCGTAGATTAAAGTATGGTAAAGTGAAAAACATCTGTTGAACAACAGGAAATTTGTCTTGCACTTCATTACTTATTCTTTCTGGAATGGCCTGACACTTCCTGATAAAAAAAATGGTAAAATGAAGGACATCTGTTGAACAACAGGAAATTTGTCTCTCACTTCATCACTTCTTTTTTGTGCAATTATCTGACACTTCCAGTTATAATATGGTGAAAAGAAAAACATCTGTTGAACAACAGGAAAATAGTCTTGCTCTTCATCACTTATTCTTTCTGGAATGACCTGATACTTCTAGTTAAAAAATGGTAAAAAGATAACCATCTGTTGAACAACAGGAAATATGCCTGCACCTCATCACTTATTCTTTCTGGAATTGACTGACACTTCCAGTTATAATATGGTGAAAAGATAAACATCTGTTGAACAGCAGGAAATTATTATCCGTCATCATCACTTGTTCTTTTTGAATTTATCGGAAATAAGTAGATTAAAGTATGGTAAAATAAAAAACATCTGTTGAACAACAGGAAATTTGTCTCTCACTTCATCACTTCTTTTTTGTGCAATTATCTGACACTTCCAGTTATAATATGGTGAAAAGATAAACATCTGTTGAACAACAGGAAATTTGTTTTGCATTTCATCACTTATTCTATCTGGAGTGGCCTGACACTTCCAGATAAAAAAATGGTAAAATAAAGAACATCTGTTAAACTACAGGAATTTGTCTTTCACTTCATCACTTATTCTTTCTGGAATTGCCTGACACTTCCAGTTGTAATATGGTGAAAAGAGAACATCTGTTGAACAACAGGAAATTATTATCCGTCATCATCACTTGTTCTTTTTGAATTTATCGGAAATAAGTAGACTAAAGTATGGTAAAATAAAAAACATCTGTTGAACAATAGGAAACTTTCCTTGCACTTCATCACTTATTCTTTCTGGAATTGCCTGACATTTCCAGGTATAATGTGGTGAAAAGATAAACATCTGTTTAACAACAGGAAAATATTATCCGTCATAATCACTTGTTCTTTTTGAATTTACCTGAAATGCGTAGATTAAAGTATGGGAAAATGAAAAACATCTGTTGAACAGTAGGAAATTTGTCTTGCACTTCATCACTTATTCTTTATGGAATTGCCTGACATTTCCAGGTGTAATATGGTGAAAAGAGAAACATCTGTTGAACAACAGGAAATTATTCTTTCACTTCATCACTCATTCTTTCTGGAATGGCCTGACACTTCCAAGTTATAATGTGGTGAAAAGATAAACATCTGTTGAACAACAGGAAAATATTATCCGTCATAATCACTTGTTCTTTTTGAATTTACCTGAAATGCGTAGATTAAAGTATGGGAAAATGAAAAACATCTGTTGAACAGTAGGAAATTTGTCTTGCACTTCATCACTTATTCTTTCTGGAATCACCTGACACTTCCTGTTAAAAAAATGGTAAAATAAAAAACATTTGTTGAACAACCGGTTTGTCATGTACTTCATCACTTATTCTTTCTGGAAATGCCTGACACTTCCAGTTATAATATGGTGAAAAGAAAAACATCTGTTGAACAACAGGAAATTTGTCTTGCACTTCATCACTTATTCGTTTTGAATTTATCTGAAAAGCGTAGATTAAAGTATGATGAAATAAAAAACATCTGTTAAACAACAGGAAATTTGCCTTGCACCTCATCACTTATTCTTTCTGGAATTGCCTGACACTTCCAAGTTATAATGAGGTGAAAAGATAAACATCTGTTGAATAACAGGAAAATATTATCCGTTATCATTACTTGTTCTTTTTGAATTTATCTGAAATGCATAGATTAAAGTATGGGAAAATGAAAAACATCTGTTGAACAACAGGAAATTTGTCTTGCACTTCATCACTTATTCTTTCTGGAATGGCCTGACACTTCCAGATAAAAAAATGTTAAAATGAAGAACATCTGTTAAACAACAGGAAATTTGTCTTTTACTTCATCACCTATTCTTTCTGGAATGGCCTGACACTTCCTGATAAAAAAATGGTAAAATGAAGAACATCTGTTGAACAACAGGAAATTTGTCTTTCACTTCATCACTTATTCTTTCTGGAATTGCCTGACACTTCCAGTTGTAATATGGTGAAAAGAGAAACATCTGTTGAACAACAGGAAATTTGTCTTACACTTGATCACTTATTCTTTCTGGAATGGCCTGACACTTCCTGATAAAAAAATGGTAAAATAAAGAACATCTGTTGAACAACAGGAAATTTGTCTTGCACTTCATCACTTATTCTTTCTGGAATTGCCTGACACTTTCAGTTATAATATGATGAAAAGATAAACATCTGTTAAAAAACAGGAAATTTGTCTTTCGCTTTATCACTTATTCTTTCTGAAATGGCCTGACACTTTCAATTTATAATGTGGTGAAAAGATAAACATCTGTTGAATAACAGGAAATTATTATCCGTTATCATCACTTGTTCTTTTTGAATTTATCTGAAATAAGTAGATTAAAGTATGATAAAGTGAAAAACATCTGTTGAACAACAGGAAATTTGTCTTGCACTTCATCACTCATTCTTTCTGGAATGGCCTGACACTTTCAAATTATAATGTGGTGAAAAGATAAACATCTGTTGAACAACAGGAAAATATTATCCGTCATCATCACTTGTTCTTTTTGAAATTATCTGAAATGCATAGATTAAAGTATGGGAAAATGAAAAACATCTGTTGAACAACAGGAAATTTGTCTTGCACTTCATTACTTATTCTTTCTGGAATTGCCTGACACTTCCTGATAAAAAAATGGTAAAATGAAGGACATCTGTTGAAAAACAGGAAATTTGTCTCTCACTTCATCACTTCTTTTTTGTGCAATTATCTGACACTTCCGGTTATAATATGGTGAAAAGAAAAACATCTGTTGAACAACAGGAAAATAGTACTGCTCTTCATCACTTATTCTTTCTGGAATGACCTGATACTTCTAGTTAAAAAATGGTGAAAAGATAACCATCTGTTGAACAACAGGAAATTATTATCCGTCATCATCACTTGTTCTTTTTGAATTTATCTGAAAAGCGTAGATTAAAGTATGGTAAAGTGAAAAACATCTGTTGAACAACAGGAAATTTGTCTCTCACTTCATCACTTCTTTTTTGTGCAATTATCTGACACTTCCACGTTATAATGTTCTGAAAAGATAAACATCTGCTGAACAACAGGAAATTATTATCAGTCATCATCACTTGATCTCTTGGACTTGATCCGAAATGCGTAGATTAAAGTATGGTAAAATGAAAAACATCTATGAACAACAGGAAATTTGTCTTGCACTCCATCACTTATTCTTTCAGGAATGGCCTGACACTTCCTGAAAAAAATGGTAAAAAGATAAACATCTGTTAAACAACAGGAAATATGTCTTGCACTTCATCACTTATTCCATCTGGAATTGCCTGACACTTCCAGATAAATAAATGGTAAAATAAAGAACATCTGTTAAACAACAGGAAATTTGCATGCACCTCATCACTTATTCTTTCTGTAATTGCCTGACACTTCTAGTTAAAAATTGGTGAAAAGATAACCATCTGTTGAACAACAGGAAATTAGTCTTTCACTTCATCACTCATTCTTTCTGGAATGCCCTGACACTTCCAAGTTATAATGTGGTGAAAAGATAAACATCTGTTGAACAACAGGAAAATATTATCCGTCATCATCACTTGTTCTTTTTGAATTTACCTGAAATGCGTAGATTAAAGTATGGGAAAATGAAAAACATCTGTTGAACAGTAGGAAATTTGTCTTGCACTTCATCACTTATTCTTTATGGAATTGCCTGACATTTCCAGGTGTAATATGGTGAAAAGAGAAACATCTGTTGAACAACAGTAAATTTGTTTTGCACTTCATCACTTATTCTATCTGGAATGGCCTGACACTTCCAGTTAAAAAATGGTAAAATAAAGAACATCTGTTGAACAACAGGAAATTTGCATGCACCTCATCACTTATTCTTTCTGTAATTGCCTGACACTTCCAGTTATAATATGATGAAAAGATAAACATCTGTTGAACAACAGGAAATTATTATCAGTCATCATCACTTGTTCTTTTTGAATTTATCTGAAATAAGTAGATTAAAGTATGATAAAGTGAAAAACATCTGTTGATCAACAGGAAATTTGTCATGAATTTCATCACTTATTCTTTCTGGAATTGCCTGACACTTCCTGAAAAAAATGGTAAAATGAAGAACATCTGTTGAACAACAGGAAATTTGTCTTGCACTCCATCACTTATTCTTTCAGGAATTGCCTGACACTTCCACGTTATAATGTGGGGAAAAGATAAACATCTGTTGAATAACAGGAAATTATTATCCGTTATCATCACTTGTTCTTTTTGAATTTATCTGAAATAAGTAGATTAAAGTATGATAAAGTGAAAAACATCTGTTAAACAACAGGAAATTTGTCTTTCACTTCATCACTTATTCTTTCTGGAATGGCCTGACATTTCCTGATAAAAAAATGGTAAAATGAAGAACATCTGTTGAACAACAGGAATTTTGTCTTTCACTTCATCACTTCTTTTTTGTGCAATTATCTGACACTTCCAGTTATAATATGGTGAAAAGAATAACATCTGTTGAACAACAGGAAATTATTATCCGTCATCATCACTTGTTCTTTTTGAATTTATCTGAAAAGCGTAGATTAAAGTATGGTAAAGTGAAAAACATCTGTTGAACAACAGGAAATTTGTCTTGCACTTCATTACTTATTCTTTCTGGAATGGCCTGACACTTCCTGATAAAAAAAATGGTAAAATGAAGGACATCTGTTGAACAACAGGAAATTTGTCTCTCACTTCATCACTTCTTTTTTGTGCAATTATCTGACACTTCCAGTTATAATATGGTGAAAAGAAAAACATCTGTTGAACAACAGGAAAATAGTCTTGCTCTTCATCACTTATTCTTTCTGGAATGACCTGATACTTCTAGTTAAAAAATGGTAAAAAGATAACCATCTGTTGAACAACAGGAAATATGCCTGCACCTCATCACTTATTCTTTCTGGAATTGACTGACACTTCCAGTTATAATATGGTGAAAAGATAAACATCTGTTGAACAGCAGGAAATTATTATCCGTCATCATCACTTGTTCTTTTTGAATTTATCGGAAATAAGTAGATTAAAGTATGGTAAAATAAAAAACATCTGTTGAACAACAGGAAATTTGTCTCTCACTTCATCACTTCTTTTTTGTGCAATTATCTGACACTTCCAGTTATAATATGGTGAAAAGATAAACATCTGTTGAACAACAGGAAATTTGTTTTGCATTTCATCACTTATTCTATCTGGAGTGGCCTGACACTTCCAGATAAAAAAATGGTAAAATAAAGAACATCTGTTAAACTACAGGAATTTGTCTTTCACTTCATCACTTATTCTTTCTGGAATTGCCTGACACTTCCAGTTGTAATATGGTGAAAAGAGAACATCTGTTGAACAACAGGAAATTATTATCCGTCATCATCACTTGTTCTTTTTGAATTTATCGGAAATAAGTAGACTAAAGTATGGTAAAATAAAAAACATCTGTTGAACAATAGGAAACTTTCCTTGCACTTCATCACTTATTCTTTCTGGAATTGCCTGACATTTCCAGGTATAATGTGGTGAAAAGATAAACATCTGTTTAACAACAGGAAAATATTATCCGTCATAATCACTTGTTCTTTTTGAATTTACCTGAAATGCGTAGATTAAAGTATGGG